CGTATCGCTGGAAAAACTTTGTCCCTGGGTTGGAGAAACCCCTTGGTCTCCAGAAGGTCCAAGTTGTCGTCGATGCAATTTGTCGGAGTATCCATCGCCCTTTGGTCATCGTAGGCAAATTTACGTTTGTCGGACGAATGGGGTTTAAACGTTTGGAGAAGTAAACCCTAGTCCTCCCAGCCGTGACCAGTTTCTTTGCTCCTCAACCCCTTCACCATTCATCATCACTAATTCGTTTAAGTGAGTTTGATAAATCAAACGATTCACTAATTTTACAGGGCCTTATAGTTCTTGGAGGATTTTCGTTGGGGCGTCAGATTTATCGAACTCACTCTATACCATAAAAACTTTACGCCTCTATCAATGCTGACGCTATTTTCATTTTCTCATATATCAAAAATTTCTAATCATTATAATTCATCCGAGTTTCTAAAAAAGAGTATACGTGCCACCGTACGAGCAATCAAACTCACTCTGGATGATTTGAAATCCGAGAATATGTAACGGAAATAACATCAGCATCATATTTTCAGAATTCTAATAATTTCCATAGTCTATTATCTGAGACAGGTTCATTGGAATAATGAAGACGAGCAGAGTTGATGTGCATGAGGAAGTTGTTCATCGCCTTTACCATGGATCCTTCATCAACAGATAAATTTTCCAATTGTTTTAATGAAGTGGCAACGGCATATGGAGAAGCAAGCGCATGTGATATACAATTAATTTGTCCAAGTGGTGGTCATAATGTGGGATCAGTGGAAATATACAGTGGTGAATGGATTGTGTATGGCATTGTACCTAAGGGTTGAGAAGGTGGTTGAGATGAGAATGAGGAAGGTGGTAGAATAGAAAGGGTATAGGGTGAAGGGGGAATGGTGAAACTGGGAAGGGTGTTGGCCGGGGGTTAGCTCAGGGATGCAAGACACCGTGAAATTACCAGCAGAGTCTCTCATGCCCGAGTGGGTGAGGTGCAGTGGGTGGTGGAACGGACTCTGTCCACTCGGTGCGAGCCCAAGGGCCAAACGGACCAGCGGGTATTTGTCTTGTCTCCTTGTTTATGAGATTCAACATTGTTATTTGGCACCGCCTGGGAGTTTCTGACCCATCCACGTATACGGTATAACGTTTGGATGTATTATATCCTTGTTTAGTGCATGGTACTCTGCAGTTTTGCGTTGAACTTCCTGGAGACTTCCACTTTGAACGAAAGAGGAGGAGACCAGCGTGAAAATCCAAATGTCCAGGTAGCCCCTCAAAATCCTTAAATCCTCACAACTACTTCACAACTGTTATTGCACTTGATCTTGTAACTCTGGCTCTGCAGGTTTAATTATTTCATTCGCACCCATGTTTTAATTCATTTTGAGGGATTTGGGGGAGTGCCATCGTGCACTTCAGGCCTGAATGATGGATTCTTAAACGACCGCTGTTGTTTATCACATGAAATATCACGATGCACATCTTTCCAGGACCGGAATTTGTCAAATTTTGTTTTTTTTTTGGTGATATTAGTGTGAGTCATGATGTAATCAGTTGAGCAAGCTGCGCAGTTACTAGAGTATCGAAGTGAATGAACATTTAATTGCTGCTATTTGAAATGAAATTCTCGGAACCTCGTTAAGAAACAAACTGAAATTAAATTAGTAACGACCGAGCGACTGCTAGCCTGTCCGTCGGTTCGTATCTTGATATTTATCCAGCGTGGAAAATTCATACGAGTGAATATGCCAACAACAGCTGGGTGGTATTGAATCATATCAACATTCGTTTAGATTTTTTTTTTCTGCGGGTTATAAAAAGGTACTCAGGGTCTTAACGTCACTCATAATTAGCATCTAGTCCACAAGAATGTTTAGGGATGGGTTTGGAGTGTTTTTATGTGAAGTGAACACTCTTGCTGATTTTAATTTGATGAATTATGTCAGGAGATACATCAAGTGGTTAATTATCCAACGAGACAAGATGAATGCTTCGAAGTTTCCATCAATCCACTGAATACGACAATTTTTCCAAGAAGTAGGTTAATTCTTTCTGAATAATGAAGTCAACTCCCAATACCTACCGATGCATACACAATCATAAACCCATATTTTTAAATGGAAAAGTTCAATTCAGTGATTAATATGCATCATCCTTGCATATGAAAAGTCATAAATTCTGACCTGTCATTGCTATTTCCCGGATTCCTCATTTACCATCGATTTTTAAAATAAATAAAAACCGAGTAACTCCGAAGAACTGAGTGATCAGTGGGTAAAAACTTCAGTGTAAAAACACAGAAAAGAATATTGAAACGTCACCATAGGTGTATCCCTTCGCATAGATACGAGGGGTTATCTAGATGACTCGTCGGCCAGCAAAACTACCACCACCGCATATAATGTCCGACGTCAATATAAGCCGTCGGATGTTTTTCTATCTCCTATGTACCATCCCCTCTATGTCCGGCTACTCTCTGCCCTGCCAAATTGACAGGTTTTCAATTTAATCAAGTTCCAATCTAATGGAAAAAATGCCGGCGATCTATTGATGTATCAGCGGGTGGAAGATGAAGAGGGGACATGCGGAGAGAGGGGAGTGGCAAGGGGGAAGGGGTACACACTGTGTGTACATTGAAATCGTAAACCACGAATTGAGAACAAGCCACTGATGATAGCCTGTTCGCTCACGGCGTACAGATTGAAATGTACTTTTCAGAATTTAAATCGCACAAAGAGAAATATCCCCCGATGGTTATAAAAATTCTCAATTTATTATTTTTTTCCGTCTATCTATTTTCACCAATACACGGAAATTAATTTATTGGTAAATATTTTTTTCCATTAGGGTAGTGGGTGGAGAATTGTGGGGTTGAATGTTTGTGGATGTTGAAGGCGTCGATGGAGATATACGAGGATGACCCATCCACCAACGGAATATTGCTTTTTTCCTGATTTCCATTATGGGCAGCCACTCATCGTACCTTTCATATGCGCAATCGGTTGTCAACTTCCCTCCGGCTGACCCTTCTTTTTTTTTTCTTTGTTGTCAATATTGTTTTAGAAAATATGAGTGTTGAAATATTGCTGGGAAGTTTGCGTTATGACTCCCGGTTTGATTGGAAAAAATTTGATAAGAGTTTTAGGATTTAATTTGCATTTTGCTGAGTTTTTTATAACTCTGTGGAGTTTCAGTGAAAATGAAATGGCACAGAGTGAAGAAACTTTCGTAATGGACATGATGCGGCGAGAAATTGGAGTTGACAAACGCAATTTATCGAGGGATGCGGTATTTTCTATTTGAAACTTCGGATAATGAGGTTCAAATTACACTCAAGGTCATTATGATATCTCAAGATAGAATTCGATACCTAAATTCAGTGAAAAACGCGATCGTAACGTGATTTTCTATGGGAAACGGAGATAAAGTTCAAGTGTCTCAATAATTTATGCTGAAAATTGTCGCAACGAGATTTCCAATGTAAAAATGAGAAATAACCGACGGAATTCGACACCCGTCAGCCCTCCGACGATGAATAATAATCGTATAATTGTGCTGTAACCCGATAGAATTGTAATTGAGGCACTCCAAATAAGCCCCATACCGGTAATGAGATATCCCCGCTATAATGAAACACAACTCCAACGCATTCGGTGTTCGTAACGCCCTGATCGTTTGCCTTCAATCACTCCTTGACAGATGCACTTTACGGGTTGGAACTCCAAAGCCATCAAGAAGGAATTTGCCGGAGGGGTCTACAGCCTCCCTGAAAACTAGGGACTCGATGCGTCAAAAGTGAGACGAACGTTTAACCCAAAAAAAATAAAAAAATTATCCCGAGTGAAAAAAAAAATCTGAGCGGCGATTAGTCGTCTGTGTGATTTTCCTGAGATTTTGCCGAGTGATCCCTATGCCATTAAAAACCATCAGAGTCAACCTTCCATATTCATTTTCTTGGGCATAAATTATCATACTTCGTGTATGTCTCAACGTCATGTTTTCCCTCCTTTATACGTTTTTTTTTTTCCCCCAACGAGAAGTCTAGTCTGATATGCAAGCAGACACTTAAACCGGTCGTTGTCCATGCCAAAGGTGGGCAGACATAAGCCGCGTGCAAACAACCACCATTCACCATCGGAGTTGTTATAATCTCCAGACAGTAGTAAATTCCATGGAATTTCATTTGTTATCCAACTCCTCCGACCGAAATTCAATCATCCATTTTGAGTTTACAAATCGATTCTCCTGATCAACGCTTCCCACAAATTTCATTGGAAGAGAAATAAAAAAGTAAAGGATCACTCCACTTCCTGGTTCACTGGACCCGTCACCTACACTACTACTCCTTTTCGCGGCGTCATCGCTTCCCGTATCTACCACGCAGATCGATAATCGATCGACAGCCATGATGGCGGCGATGCCTCGAGACGTGGGGGCATTGCGGCCTCTAACTTGACAGGGTAATGGTCTTACGAAATGTTTAAAAAAAAAAAAGTATTTTTCATTATACCACGACTATAATGACTACTGCTTTCAATATGTACAAAGTTCACTCCGCGTACTCTACGAATTCATCAAAAATCCATTGTAATATTCGAAATAATTGTAAAGTTGCGTAAGTCATTTAATAAGGTGTAACCTAAATACCAGAGATCATTGACCCGATCATACGAAACTCGCGCTGCTTTGTTTTGCGAATTAATCATATGCAGGTCATCTCGACCACTGGCCGATTTGGGGTGAGATAGAGAGAAAGAGAGAGAGAGAGAGAGAAAGAGATAGTGTGTAAGAGGGGGAGGGGGCATCTACTTGACCACAACAATTGATTGTCATTGACACAAAAAGACGCGAGAGGACTGAAGTTGTGATACAATCTCGGAGGGCATTGAAAGGTCATTGCACTTATGCATTATCGTAGCCCGTGATCAACGAACACTTGTCATATGCAATTCAATGTGGCTGACGAGAGGAATGCAACGAGACTAAATCGCCGTTAAAGTCATTGTTTGGGGACTTACCTCGCTCTTGAGATTCAGTGGTACATCGCAGGGTGCCTCCATGTCGCTCTCGGTTTTTATGTGATGGGACAGAAGGCCGCTGTGGGTGTGACGTGGTGGCGCTACTGTTGCCAACATGTTAGGATGCTGTCTATATGGCAATTGACGCGGCTGGAGACGTCTGTGATGATAAGGTGGTGATGTTGACAGGTGGGTTGTCTGGGTGCGTAAGTCAGCTGGGGGTGATGCTGGCGCAGCGGTACTGCTCTGTTCCTCCTCGGCTGAGCCCTCCGCCATGTCAACCGAGCATCCCGATGACTCGTTATCTGAAGAACAAACAGCATCATGAAGAACAAACAGCATCATGAAGAACAAACAGCATCATGAAGAACAAAAAACAATTAATAAACGTTCACTCATTACTTTAACTTAAGGACAGATCACCTGGTGATTTAACGCAGTGGATAAGTCCCGCCCGGTCGAATGGTCAGACCTTATCTACCGTTTTAAAATCCTGATCAATAATCATTATATCGTATATATAATCTCGTAATCAGATCGCGGTGATGTAGGTTAACTATAAACAACTGAGAAGAATTCGCGAAATATTTCAATAATGACTATTGAAATGGGAAAGCATGGACTCTCCTTTCCACTGAAGCTCATCCAGTCAATTCACTCTCAGCCCCAAAATAAATAAATATTTACTGATTTCATCGCCGAGACAGCACACCACTCGGTTCAACTAATTAAATTTTGTGAATCCCACAATAATATGATAACGAACAGGCGCAATGGCCAAGCGATTTCTCGAACGATGAAAATGAGAAGATGCATTCCATCCCTCTCGGGGAAATGGTAAAGAAAAAATGAACGACAAAAGATCAAAGGTAAAAATTGGACGGTCGGCACTTTACGGGATGCCACGCGTATTAGAGTTGTATACTAGTTTGGGATGCCAATATCTGCTCCCGCCCGAAGCCATAAACGTCTGCTCCAGTGGATACTGGCGCCATGACACAGTGAAAAAGTATAATTATTTTTATCTTAATGCGAGCTCAGTGACTACTTTCAACGGTACAACCAGCAAATTCAAGGGCAATGAAATCACGCCTCGAGTCCCGAAGATGGTGACCTCGTTGTCTTATACATCTCTTTTCTTTCTTCAATTTAACTTTCTCTCCCACTTCTTTCTATGGGTTATAATCCAAGACTCATCTGACACCAAGAGAGGGGAGGCCTTTTGAAACGCAACTTAACAACATCTGCTTCTATTTTTGCGTTGGCCCGAGTCCAATCCTTAAAACTTTTTAAACTGTCTGGGTATATGGGCTTATGACGAACGAGCCCTGGACGGATCATTGAGCGTGTGTTTCAAGTCGAAAAGGTCATAAGTGCAGGTCATATACACACCAAAATATACACACCGTGTTAACTTTATTTATTTTTTATTTACGAAATTTCATCGTTTTTGGCCTCTGTGTTTAGCTGCTAAACGAGGAGGAAATCATTCGCTCCAGTGGCTGATAGTCGCGTGCAGATATGTATCTAATGGGTAAATGAACAGGCCTCTGTTGGAGAAATAAAAATGATGGTTCATTGGGTTGATAATCGCATATTCCTTTTTGACGTGTTTCCTGTATTTTTCTCAATGAATTGTTCTTTTAATTGGCACATTAATTGATTTGACTACACGAGGGAACTTTGCGCTCTTTTTTCACTGGACCTGCAGCATTATTTCTACTCTATTTTAATAGCCATTATTATAGAACTAAACAATTTATCCAATTATTTCGTATTGTGAGGATCTATTGACTGTTCGTTAATGATGAATGTTGATGGATATTCAAATATGCCGCCGCCTCACAAAAGCGCCACCGTGCGGTCTTTTCGACTTGGTGGAAATTTGGATTTTTTTTGTATCAATTAATGAACGATTGTTATTGATTATCGAGGATATGTTAGTAGTGATGAATTATTTGAATGCACTGAGTTGAGAGGCAGATTGTCAGTTATAAATCCCGACCACCAAAATGATCTCTTTGTAGTCTTCATTTCACTCGGACAACGAATGATCATCAATCCAAAGCCGGGGAATCGCATTAATTGCCACGCGCGCGTGTTTCACGAGACCGAAAATTATTATAAGCTTTAACCACCAGCTGTCGGCATCATGGGAGGAGTGAGACAGATGAAGTGAGGATGAAGGTGGGGTTATAGCCCTAGGAAATTTAGATTTGCTCCGAGCGATTGTCTGGTATCCTCTATTTTTCAGTGTATAATAGCGGTTATTTTGAAAACTGGATCAATTAGAAGAGTCGATTTAAATGCAATAATGAGTGGGGCTCGGGTGGTTTATTATAGGTAAGATCGGTGAATAAATGTTGAACCTTTGTAACAATGTGATATGTCAAAATGTCTGACAGGTTCGGGAGAAATTGTGGATATGCGAATTTCCGAAAATTATATAGGGCTTTTGGATGTGATGCCAAGGGAATTCGTCTATACCTGCACGTCAGCGTAAAAACGTGGGGATTATAAAATAAAGTTCCATAATTAAACGTTTCGAAATTATTCGAGTGCATTCATGATTTCAATATTTAATTATACAGTAATTATGTGTTATTTAAAATTATCAATAGGAATTAGCGGTGGATTTATTTGAGAAGCTTTTGCTGATAATTAAAATATTTTACCACTGAGTGAGTGATGAATCCTTCTTTGGCGATTAATCAATTTGAATTAATTAAAACGACAATGAATGTCGTCACAAATATGAGAAACAGGTCTTTATACTCAACACGTGATAAGTGTTCATGGAAAACTTGACTCACGGCGATATAAATAATCTAAAATTTAATCTTTAAAGATGAAGTAATAGTGTACACGGTGATGTGACCACTTGCAATTTGCGCACTTCACTCTGGCAAGGGCCTGATTTTTTTTATTGGTATTATTGAATAAAAAGGTGGATAACTCAGTCTTGTGAATCCCCTAGCCGATTGATAGGTGGTGTATATGCCGTGTAACAAACTCAAAAGACGAAAGACGCACGAGGCATTGAATAGCAGCCGCCATCACCAATAACCGACGACCATGGATAGACTCTCCAAGCCATGTAATTAAGGGGGGGTTGATTGATGTTAATTCAAAGGGTAATTAAGAATGTTGCGCATAAAAATTCCGTAATTTATGGTCATTGGGTATAATTATATGTTGACCAGGCTTGTAATTGCGAGCGACTGCAGCAGCATCACTCGACAAGATGAAATTCTCGTTTGTGCCGATAGTAAACATAGGATAACACTCCTAGAATATATGGTCTCAAATCGCAACCATTATTATACATATCCATAGATAAGATTCTTAGTAGAACAAGTATCTTACTGGGATTCCCCCTCGGGGCTAAATTCATCCTCAATCATTGAGGATAGACCCTCGGGTGAAATTTATGAGAGCCCACAGTGTCTGCGGTTTTAGACCAAAAAACATTTTCCTTTTAAAAATACTTCAAACTGGTACTTTGTGAAAGCCAATAAATAATAACAACCGGATAATCACAGAGTCGTTAAAAAAGATATTTCAAAGGATGAGGGGAAGAATAAAAAATAAGCTAAATGCCTACTGAAAGATCTTTATTCTTTTGGCTCTGAGGGGGGCTTAGAGTTTGATAATCGAACTCGAACCGATTGCTTCCGTTGGGTATGGAGGTGGAGAAGGGAGTTGTAACGGGTGGTTGGGGTGGGAGGGAGGAGGGGAGGTTTAATACAAGAGGTAAAGGCGCAGATGCCTTTCACGATTGATCGGAAAAGCGAACGATAGACGTGTACAGGAATAATCGAAGACCCTTCAATATTGACGAACTGCATTTAATTATTCTACGTGGCAGCTGAAATGAAAGGTATATTCGCATTCGGGTTTCAAGCACAGGATGAGGTACAGATCATAACTCGTTTGATGCTGGTATACCTATATTTTCTTGTACTTGAGAGACAGCCAATGAAAGCGTGGTTCCCAGCGGGACCAGTTGGCAACCGCCCATCGTGACATTGTCCAGGTTGGGGAGTTTCACATTTTTTTTTTTTACTTCAATTGTGGGTACTTATTCCGCGGTGGACGTAATTATTATTGGTTTATTGTGCGTTCCGGAGACAAAGGGACCTCGTGCATTTTTATCGGTTCTGATTTCTTTTTGGGATTATTGAGGAGTATTGTTTTTATAATTCGAAGCGTTTGTGATTTTTTTTTCAGCAGTATTGAATTAATTAATGATTCATGATTTATGAGCAGTAAACTGAATTGAGACAATATTTCGCTTGAGAAAAGGCCACGTGCAGGAAAAAAAATGGAATAATGCGTGATTAGAGTCGTAAATATGAAGTACCTATTGTCTAACGAGAGCTTATCAGAGCTGTCATTAAAATAGACATTTTATTTGATAGAACTTGTTGATTTCACACGTGATAATTTTCTGGTAAAAAAGACTCATACCAATTCGAGAATAATTCATAGCTCATGCTGTAGTTGCCAAGGTAAACGTGATACGATGACATACCCTTACGTCATATAAAAAAAATGATTAAAGTGATGAATACTGACAGAGGATGATTAAAAAAAAATTTTCACTATTTTTCATGGGAGTGTCCCATCAAAATAAACCGAAACTTGGCATCAACGTACGTTAATTTACCCAACACATTGCACAAACGTTAAGGTAAGTACCACTGGGGTAATGCTCGTTTCGTGCGATACCATTCTGTCAGAAATCCAGCGGGCTTTGTCGGGAGTCACGAAACGCAAGGATTAAACCGAACACCGGAGCCAACACCGTTAATACGAGACTGTGTGAACGGTCAGAAGAGAGAGGAGAGGACAAACACGAGAGTGAGGGAATAAGGCATTGACTATGGGTGTATATTCGAAAATGCTTCTTGCTGTGCGTGCAGCCGACGCCCCGTTTGTACCATTATATCCAGTGTATATATACCACTGAGGGCATGGGAGGCCGTGTCCATAAATCGGCCCCCCTCCCTCCTTCTTCCACCCCTCTCGAAAAGGAATACGATAAAGGGGGGGCCTCTTCAAAGCGCGAATCGTTTAGACCCCAGGGGGGGAACAGAGAAATGAGACGCAAACGCACTTACTCTACTTGTCCGAGGGGTGACAGTCTATCCTACACCCCGTCCTGCTGCACTGACAAAAAAAATTACTAATTGATTGCCCATGAAATTTCTTGGGTTAAAACAAATTGTGGTAAAAAGAATTTTGGGCAAAATTTTAACACTTTAAAAAATAGTTCTTTGGAAAAAAGACTTGCCACCTTTTA